AAAAAATGTAATTGATTTAGTTTTCTTTAAAGAACCTTTTACTATCTGATTTTTAATTGAGAAAATATCAACAGATTATTTGTTTTGCAAATCATACAGATTTACAAGCAGTGAAGAAGTCTGGGTTTTATCTTGAAGTGGGCTGAGCTAGCGAGTGTTTGTTGGAGAGTTTTGACACAAGCTTTGTCATCTTTTACTAAAAATTAGTTGTGTTCATCATGTGATCCAACTCTGACAGCTAATTTCTTATTTTTAATGGATAGTAATGAAATCGATCATCCAGTTTGGATGTGGCACTTTAGCTCCTCAGAGGAGTTTCATTGCTTTACTAAGGGATGAAGCTGGTATTAGAGAGGCACACATGTTACTGTGGATTTATCTGCAGGCCCCAACAAGCTTTTAACATACTGAAAAAAACATTTAACATGAAATTACAGGAACTGAAAATATTTGTTTGGTGATGTAATGGAGTGATGTGTGTATTAGCGATGTAGGTGTTTTGCACAGCTTTGGGTTCTAGTTTGGTAAGTTTTGTTTGTCTTTACTAAGTGGTTACTAATTAATTTGTTGTGACCTGAACAAATTCTTGCATAGACTGGACCTTAAGAGATCTCGGTTCTGCTTTGGAGCGCCTGATCATGTGAGACTACATGTTGAATTCCCCAGCTGTCGTCTTAGACCCTCAAACTGCCCTTTAAAGGTCTTTTTTTTTTTTACGGTCGTTCAGCTGCTTTAGAACAGTTGAGCTAAGGTCGAGTGCTTTTTCTTCTCGTTACTTTGTTGGATGACTCAGAGGCAGACTAAGAACACTGAATAAACTCTCCTAGAGGTGGGGATTGCCGAGTTTCAACACTGTGAGCAAAGAAGTAGCCAGATTTCATTAACAAAAGACAGTCTGATGCAATTTCCATTGTCTAAAAAATGACTTGGATATATTTTTGTTGGTGTCATGTTTCAAGTGTTATAAAGTTCAGACATGAGGAGGACGGCGTTCAGAGGCTTCGGTGTCCTCCAGACCCCAGACCTCACGTCTCACGGACCTTTCAGCACAGTTTGCTAGCAGGAGCTGATTTGCAGTGTGTGAAGTTGCAGACAGATGGGAGGCGCTGAGGCAGACAGGAAGAGGGAAGTGAGAGGAAGAGAGGGGGGAGAAAAAAACTGTGGTGGGACTTCATGGATCTGATCTGAAGAGAAACTGTTTAGGTTTTTCTTTCAGAAATGTTCTGATTGCCTCAAACAATTCTTTCACAATGGCTCCTATACTCAGGATGTATTTATTAGCGGTTCAGATCCGTCTGAATGGATGTTAGATTAAAAGCAGAGGAAGTTCTGTCAGCTCGTGACATCCTCAGACCAACTGCACTAAGTCAAATATTATGATGATTGTTTAAAGAAATGTCTCCCCCAGCTGTTCAGACCTCCATGGTTCTGAATGGCACTGATCGTGCTAGGAGTCACCCATGTTTGTGGACAAACAGAACCAAAAAGGTCCGCGTCAACAAACCGGAGGATGGAGACGATCGGTTAGCTACCCGGTCCTGTCCCACTGACAGGAGATCTGTGCTTCTTCCTTGTAACAACCGTCCCCATGGAAACTGGTCTCTGTTGGCTGTTTGGATCACAAACTGCTCCTGGCTGTCTGCTAGCCCCCCCGTCTCTCCATCTGTGTGTTCAACAAATTTACTGGACCTTTGTGCCGCTCTACTCGCTCTGTTTTATTAGTCATTTTTTAAGACCTCACTGTATCACAATGATAAAACTCATTTAGTTCTAACATTGGCAGTCATAAAACCAAATCTGGAGATTGTTAATTAGTGCAGGTTGTGGTTGAATCCTTTTTTTATTCCTAAATAATTCAAATGACTTGTTAAACAACCAAAGGCAGCTTTACGTCAGCTTGTGTTTGTGTGCACACACCGTTCTCAGTGTATGTTTGTACACAGGTAGGCCTTCACTACGCAGTGGTCACCTTGAAATTCCAGCCTGCAGGGTGTTTGACATTCAGCTGCTTATTTTGGCTGCTTAAAACTCTATAAAGGGAGAAAAATGACGATGACCCACTTCCTAAGGCCGGTCTGCAGGTTTGTCCCCCAATCAGAGACTGTCTGCAGTCTAATATCTGGACAAAGTCAGCTGCAGTAAAACTACTTTAAGCTTATTCTCATTCTGCAAAGGAACCTCTTTTTTAAACAGGTCATAAAGTTAACTAAAATCACAAATTAATGTTTTAATTTTAAGAAACACACAATTGTTTATCTTAACTCATTTAATGGATAACCAAGTACCAAAGGGATTCAGTTCAGATTTAACACATTTGACTTTTTTTTTTTCTCCCCCCACTGAGGGATGTTTATCTATTTTTGTTTGTTTTCTTACAGTCACTCATTATGACAATATGACCAAATACTGGAACATATTTGTAGTTTGTTAGTCATCTGAGCGCCTTAGCATTTGTTTACCTTTTAAAAGGCTTGCAGCTCTGCAACACAGTCATATAATAGAGCCATATTGGAATAAAGATAAATGTGTGATATCTTGTTCAGCCCTAAATCAGAACATCAAAGGGTTGTCGCCTCCTCTTTTAGTAAACCCTGACCAAACAAAGTCTGCTTGACGCTTCCCCTTCTATCAGAAAAGAAGACAGGACTGCAGTGCTCAATAAATATTTAATGTAAGTACAGTATGTTTTGATGCCGGCCTGCTGAAGGTTGAGCACAGCTAATAAACAGTCCGACCCAAACGGAGACATCCTTGTTAGAGAGACGGTTGATGTGTTTATGAAGCAGATCTTCGTCCCTGTGGATCGATACCACATGACTCTGACTTTGTTCAAGGTCCTTTGGCCAGACAGAGCTCATATGCTCAGACGTAAACATCAGACGTGTTATTATATCTGTGAAGGAGCGGCTGCTGTACGAAAGGCCGATTGAATGTGAGGACTTGTTTGTTTTTTGTTTTTTCCTGTTTTATAGTATACGGTTAGTTTTAGGAAAGCAGCATCAAATTACGCAGGTGGACCCAGCTTAATGCAGGTCAATTAATCATTGGTATATGCTTTATTCAAGGGCCCTTAGCAGATGAGCTAAAAGGCCATGTCAGCACTTCTGCCCCAACATTTCTTGCCGGACACAAGACGAGCTCACGTATAATTTTCAGGGAGAGATCATCAACTCATTGTGTTGTTGAAGGAATCTAAATGGCATCTGCATTGCTGAAGAGCAAGAAGGAAGATAGAGGTCACTTCTACGTTCCAGGGTGTCTCTATGCTGCAGGAAATGGCCCCAGAGACATGAGCCAGCGTTTCCTGTTTCATAACAGAACCTGAAGCTGGGTCTGACCTGACTCCAGGCTGCGGATCTGCAGGAATAACCTGCAAATAGCAGCACTTTTAGAGGGTAAGGTGCTTTGATTACACCCCTCCACCAATCAGAGGCAGCGTACTCCACTCTCTGTTGTGTTTTCCTAAAGGCTGCCTATCGGGAGTCTGCAGTATCCTGGGTGCCGAGCCAACAGTAGATTAGCTGTCAGCAAAAGAGGATGTTGTTTTCCAGATTTTTTGTCCTCTCATGGTCTCGTGTTTCTGGTTTCATTACCCTTCAACCGTTCTTACATTTTTTTTTTTCTTACCACCACAACATCACATTTCATCAACACAAGGGTGTTGGAGAAGCAGAAGGAAGCAGCTTTTGCATACATTTGTCTGCAGCCCCTTTACTCTGATACCTCTTAGTAAAGCAGTGAAGCCAGTTTTCCACAGAAATCCCCTGAAAGTGCTGCAAATTACCCTGAAACATGGTGGGGTCAATAACACATTTTCTACAGTTAAATGTATGGAGGCTTGATTCCAAATAATCCTAAAGGCCCTGCTGTTTTCATCACTCGTCACTCAGAAAATATTTTATGTTTTTCATCACATTAACACCTGCCTTGTCCTCTTCTTCCTCCATGAAGGTGGCGCTGTCTCTTCTTCTCTTTGGGATAAAGCAGCTTGTTGTTTCCTGTACAGGAAGCGGGTCAAGGATCAGAGTTGGTTATGATGATGATGATTTACCGTTCCTGAGCAACGAGTTTACAGAGCCTGCTGGCTTTAAGGTCACAGGTCTGGTATTGTTTTTAGCTCTGTGTGCGGCAGAAGAGCAGCTCTAGACAAGGAGCAATGTAAAGAAGGTTAATACTAATAATCATGTATGCTTTAGCTTTCATTTTGGCAATCTAAGGTTATAGTTTGACCACATTTATCTACTCTGCTAAATCAACTTGAATTTTTTTTTCTGTATCTGAAACAGGAAGTGCATATAAATGGTGTTTCATAATCAGGACCCTCTTTAGTGTGGGGCTGGGATTCCCCTCAGCTTCCCTTCAGTCCAGCAACACCGAATGCCTCCTTTTAAGGAGGATCAGGCTGTTGTGCAAAAAAATGAGGGTCATTTTTTCCCCTGTTCTAATTATAGCTGCACATTAATTAGGTTTAAGGTTTGGATTTGCTTAAAAGCCCTTTTTTAGGGTTTAGTTTCTATAAATATCAAAACAGAAATAATCTTAAAGCTCAGATTCTCTGTTCTAAAATTATTAGCGGGATTCTGTTGACTTTATGATGAAGACAACTTTATTTTCCTTCTGTTTATATAGATTAGCTTACTTTCTGTAAATCATTGGTTAATTTTATGTAGGTCAGTTGTTTTCATACTTTTTTCCCCTCTGTTTTGGTAGAAAATAAGTAATAGAAGCCGGTCTGATTCACTCTAAAATCGTATCGGATCAATATCGGTATCATATCGGAAATGGAAAAGTTGTGTCGTGTCATCCTTTTTAAAAATAATCCTGTCTTTGAATGTTGATGACATCTTTTATTGGACAGTTGGGCTTACTTTACATTTTTCCAGCTTTCCTAACAAGGTTCAGCAACAGGTTGGGAAGGGACGAGGTTGAACCTATCCCATTTCTCTTTGGGTCTGTGAAACTCAAAAAAGTAACATCTGGTTTTCTCTCCTCTTCCTCAGATGTGCACCCCAGCCAACACACCAGCGACGCCCCCCAACTTCCCCGACGCGTTGACCATGTTCTCCCGGCTGAAAGCCTCCGAAAGCTTCAACAGCAGCGCCGGCAGCCCAATGAACGCCTCCATGGCCACCTCGCCTCCTCCCTCACAGGCGGGCGGCTGGGGATTCTCACCAAATGTACCTAACGTGCCGCAACCTCAGCAGGGACTCTGGGCTCAGGGGCAGCCCCCCACGCAGCCCTGCCCCCCCTGGCCCATGGGTGTCAACCCACATGCGGGCGCCGAGCAGAAGGCTAGTGTAGCGATGGAGGCGGAGAGATGAAGGGCCGCACTGGACTGAAACAAAAGCCCCCACCCCTCTTACCTTCTTTATTGTAGGGGGGGTGAGAAAGGGGTTTTGGGGTGGGAGGCAATAAAGGATAGAAATGGGTTCAGATGGGAAGAAGTGTGGAAAAAAAACATCTACGCAAACCAAGAAAAAAACTGATTTTGGACAATAAAGAAGACAAAAACCAATGCAAACGTCAACACAGAAATAAAGGAAAAAGATGCGCACACGCATAGTAATAAGAGAGCAAACCTTTGTTAGTTTTCCTAAAAGCGAATCGAAATATTGAAGTAAAAAAAACAAAAAACAAATAAAAAAATCAGTAACGTCATGCCCAAGGATTCTATACAATGTTCAAGGACATTCAAGGACTTTCAAGGCAGCAAACTTGAGGGTTTTTTTTTCTGTTTTTCAGCCAGTGAATTTTTTTCTTTCTATTTTTTCTACCCACTGGTGTTCTGTGTTTCTGCGACCGTCTGTGTGCTGCATGAGGAGAAGAAGAGCGACGCTGTTAGTTTTTTTTTTTTTTTTTCAATTCAGATTCAGATTTCATCACCGACTTTTTGAGCAGGACACGTGGGAGCGGTTTGTAATCAGATGGAACTCACGGATAAATGCGCTATATTTTAATGTTAACACACTCTTCCTAATTTTGGGTTTAGAGGAAAAAAAAAACGCCTCCACAACCGTCAACCCCGTCGTCACATGGTGGGGCCTCTTCTTACCTCGCCTGGTGGTCACCTGACTTCTTTCAGCCAATCAGGGATTCTTCTTAAACCAGCTGTTGCCGACGCCGGATCTGTTTTCGTGATTTTAATTTTTTTCTTAAAGGCGACAGCTGCTTCTGGTTTCTTCTAACTGATCCTCACTGCAGCAGCTTCTCCTGACACCGTTTCAAACCTGGACTACAGGAGGAGCTTTCTGGAGATTACTGCTAGAAATCATTGTTTCATATAATATTGTTTGTTTTTTGTTTGTCGAAAAGGTTGAGGAAGTAGGCTTTGAAAGCGGGCGGAGATTTGGGTTGATCTTTGTTTTGTAAAAGTGAATCAGTCGCAGCTAAAATGACTAGAGATTAAAAAATGAGACTACTCCATTTTTTTTAAAAACTGAAATGCCACTTTTGCATGACGTGTTCACAACGTGTAACATCTTTTGTAGGAAGCGTACATGAGGTTCGAGGCGTGTTTCTGTTGGAGGGTGGGGGGGAGGGGTTATTCCCAACGTTAATAGAGCAGCAGCAGATTCTTTTGCTGTTTAAAGAGAAAAAAATGTCTAAATCAAACCAAAATTCACCTTTAGGGAGGAGGACGGATGACGGACGCCGACAGTGGTGCGTCCGGGGACACTACAGACTTACTTTCAGGGATACAGCATTTATGACGACCCCTCTCTCAGACGCCACGCTGTGGAGGAGGTCCTACACCATCGACTATCTGGATACGACGTTGTTGGTCTGCTGACGCTGCCGACGGACAGTTTGGGGATAACCCTCGTAAAATTGCAATATTTTGAAACAGGTTGGAGCCCCCTTCAGTTTTGATTTTTAATCACAGACTTTAAAAAGACATTTTGAATAGCTTAGAGTCATTTCTCTTTTACGTTTTTTTTTTTTGTTTTGTTTTTTTATAGAAGGAACATAAATCCTGGACATGTGGATGAGGAATAACCAACGTTGTGTTTGTTAATTTAGACTAAGCTAATGTTTGAAAGCAGCCATTTTCCCAAAGCTTGGTTCTTTATTTGGTTCAATCAGAGAGTTTGTGGGTGGGCCTGTTCCTAATGGTTTCTCATCTATGTTTTCCCCCCCTTGTATGACTGTATGAGACCATTCCCACAATATTTGTGGACTACCTGATAAATAACTTATCATTTTTGTGAACCTAAATAAATATTGTATGTCAACCTCTTTAGGATGGTTTAATGGAGTGTGAACAATGGGCCGAACCCAACCCTTCAACTGTTTTGTTTCCTGTGAGGGAAAAAAACAGCTTTATCCAAGAGTTCCTGTTTTTTTTTTTATTAATTAAAGTTGTTTGTTAGATAAGTCCGTATGGAGTCAGGAGAACGGGTTCACAGAGTTCTGTGTCCTTATCTCCCCTCCTGACTCCTCCCATGAGGAAAGAAACTGGATCGCTCCGCCTGATTGTGCGTGCCAGTCTTTCAGCTGCTTCTAATGCAAGTTTCAACACGTTGGCAGCAGGTTCAGCTGCACCACAGAACCACTGGGCGAGGATCAGAGGAACCTTAAACACGGGTTGGTCCAGAGAAGCGGGTGACCGGGTTTGTGGAGGCAGTAAAGAAGACCTATGATCATCACCACCAAAGTTTTAGAATAAATTTTGCTACTGCAGGAGCTTTTCTGTCAGTGTTTGAATGAAACCATCTCCCACCTCATCATTACACCAGTGAAGGTTGGAGACCCAAACTGCAGGTGTGTTTTAGTCAGCTCTCAGTATTTCTGGAATCCACACAGGAAGCTCCATCAGAACAAGGCCTTTCTTATAACCCTGCAGCAGAAACATTCAAAATGACGATGAAGTGACGACCTGCAGCCTCACGGATGGATAGACGACCCGCATATCTTGTTACCTGAGGAGGAACCAGATGAGAACGGCTTTGTTCCGCTCAGGTTTGCCCTGTCCAGGATGAAGGATCCATTACCAGCTATATGAAGGTTTATCTGTCAGAGTTTGGAGATTATCCAGAACAAAAGTAACGTTTATACAGGAAAGCATTGTTATATAGAAAGTTCAATAAGCAGCCATTAGCTTAGGGTTCTTGGTGGTGAGCAAAGCATACTGCGTGCTTTTGTAGCATGGTGCCTCACGTCTATCAGTTCTGTGTTTTGGAGAGTTGGACCTTAATGAAAGGGCTGCAGCAAGCAGGCCATGATCCAGGGCATCTTTAACCGGAGTTTAATCCTCTTAACAATTGTTCCCAAAATGTCTATAAACACCTGAAAGGCATAACATTAAATTACTTTTTTTTTTTTTTTGACATTTTCAACCATCTGGAGCATTATGTTAAAGTCTGGTCCCTCTCTAAAGGTCACTCTGTTGAACCATAGAAGTAAAACTTGTTGGAACAGAAATGAAGATTTAAAACCTCACTACAAATGTAGATTTGATAATGCAGACCAAACCCTCTAAAGCTCACTGGTGGAGAAACACAGGAAAGAGATGAGTCACAGAGTCTGCATCGCGCTGATTCATTTCCAGGATTTCTGTCCATCTTTACCAGGGTTCCTTTCCTACCCTCAAATTCTCATGTTTTTTTTCTGTGCAGAACAAAAAAAAGACAAAACACCGAACATCCTCAGTCCATCAGCTCACCTGCACGCTCATAACCTCTTTGTTTCAGATCAGAGCAAAGAAGATACTCTCCAAAGAAGCCCAAAGGAAAATCTTTGAATGATCCCTTTATTCTTTAATTACAGTTTGTTCTTAATAGGGCAAACCTATGAGGAACCTCATCAGAATAACCTTTCTTACATAGTTTGTTCTGATCCATCGCTTCGATTACACCTCAACCTAAACTCTCCTGCTGGGCGCTTATATTCCCAGGTCTGTTCCCCTGGTGTGTTTGTGTGTGAATGACCGCAGTGAACCTGTGACATGGCAGCGTGCCACTCTAGCCGCTCCGCGCCCGAGATCCTGAGTTGGACACAAAGCTGGCTTTATCCCTGCTCTCAGCGTCGTATCAATGCTGCCTGGCTGCTTGCATTTGCAACAGACTTAGCACAAACACACACAGAGCAGTCTTAAAACAATACACAGCACTTAGCCTGGAAGCAGAGGAAGTTGTACTTGTGTGAATAAAGAGACCAGTGATCACTGAAGGAAGTGTTAAAGAAACAAAACCACATTGTTTCTGTTCTCATGTCAAACCCAGCTCAAAAAAATCACACAATGCATTAAAGTGTCCATTTCTGTTTCTTTCTTTTTCTTTCACTTCCTTATCATTCCCCCTCCCTATAAATACAGACATCATCAAAATAATCAAGGCACATCATTTTCACATAATTTGATTTGTTAGACGAACCGATCAGGGATTGCATGAGTTTCACAGCCACATCCTGACCCTGAAATAAGCTGATGGATCTAATGAAGCTGAGGAAATCAGATTGAACTGAGATCTATCAGATGTTCTGTAAATTTACAGAACCTTTTCTAAGGTTTGGGTCTTTAGAGAACCATGGAGCAGTGAAGATACAGAAACCTCTCTTATAATTTACCAGGATTGATCTTTGTCAGTGCAGATAGCATCCAGGTGCTCACTGTTTTTTTTCCCTCAGTTTAATGGTGACATGCCCTGATTTAAGATGCTCTATTGCATAACCTTCTTGTTGCTCTAGTAGATTAAGAGCAGCTCATCTTTAGGGAATGTGGTGATGTAGCTGCTCTGATGCATCATCGCTGCAGGTGCATATATATATATATATATTTTTTAGAAAGAGCCGGCATGCTGACAAAGCCCTCCATCCCTCCAATATTCCCTCATCTTCTCATTTTATATCATATCACTGCAGTCACCCAAGTTGAGCCAACATGTCCAGAACTCAGGCAGCAAGCAGCTGCAGTATAATCCTCGTAGTATTAGAGTGAGAATCCAGCTGCAGCACAGGAAGTGGATCTGCTTTGTCCTCAGTTTACTTATGATCTACAGTCATCAGTGATCATTTCCTGGCAGAAAGGACTGCTGTGGTGATGCAATGTGATGCAGAACAGCTAAATAAGAGACAGAAGTAATGTACCTAGATCAGTCACTACAGTTTACTCAGTAATCGAGCCGTGATGTAACTTAAGATCCATCAGAGGGCTGTCACAGTGAAGACTGAGCAGTATTCAACATTAATCTAACTTTACAGAAACCAGTAGATTTATATATAAATACGTCTGATAGAAATCTATCAATTAAACATTTAGTTGATTTGATTTAAATATAGCTGCATATGTTCTCTGAGAACTTTATAATTCCCCATATAATCTCACGTGTGTTTGATGAAATAAATGATTACCTCAATTTAACCAGAAAACTTCTGAAGGGCTTATGGAGTTACAAGATTAGCTTTCTTTACAACAGAATAAGTGGAACAAAAATCGCTTTTTAATGTGATTTATTTATTTGTTACAGATCTTGTTTAAATGCTAAGGCTGGTGGGAAGCAGTTTGCTCCTTTAGATCTTTTTAATTCCCTGCTGACAAGTTTAACTTTATCAAACTAAGTAACATCGGGCAAACAGCATCTCATCTGCAGGCCAGATGTCCCTTGCAGGAAAGTGTGAAGGAGGAAAACTGGTTTGATAAAAGGGGTAAAGCTAATTAGTGCAGAGAAATGCAGTTATTTAAAGCATACCTCCCTGCTCTAGAAACAAAGTGTCATCAAAACTACACAGGATCGACCATCAGGCCTTTTATCCACGTTTACATGTGAGTAACTGGTTTTGATTGACACCATTAACTGGTCCTCTATGCTAAATGTATTACCGGTACTTATAAGGCTGAGTTTATCTATAACTTATTAAAGAGGCTAAATGTTTCCACCAGGATGAACCAAACAATTAGACTTCTTAAACTCTGTGGGATTTCCATGCACACCATCCTAAACAGTCCACTTTTAACTCTTCAGTAACAGGAATATTCTCCCAGAAGTCTGCAGAATCAGAGTCAGAAATACTTCAATAATCCCAGAGGGAAATTACTTTTATTATATGCTCCAGATACAGTTTTATATAAATATATATACGGTACACAACAAACCACACAAGATGGTTGTAACTACCAGGTGTTTTTGGAAATGTGAGACGGGTCTTTGAGTTTTGATGGGTCAGCAGGGGTTCTAGACTTGAAGCTCTCTCATAGAGGCCATTTTTGCCCAGTCACTTTCTTTCTAATTGTTGAATAATAAAGCCTAGTGGGCTGTTCTCTCCTTCGGTTCCATGTTTCCTCTCTAAACTGTGTGGTTCTGTCACTTGTTTAGGAACTACAGCTTTCAAACAAGTTGAATATCTGCTATAGTCATGTGTGGTAGCTTTAGGCCACAGTTAAAAGGCCTTATCTAGCTTTAAAGGGCGAAACTTGTCTTTGGTTATGTTTTTTATATTTAGATTACCCTCAAACTATCTGTTAATTTGTCATTGGAACTGTTCCAGTGCTTCATAGAACTTTAACTTTATCCAAGTTAAAATTAAACTTAGCTCAGCTGCAGACGAGCTTTGCTGTCACATTCAGCTCCCTAAAGATCATCCTCTGGAGATGACGCCTGACACTTCATTATCAGCGGCTGAGGGTTTGTATGTGTGCTGACTGTATTACAGTAACACTATTGTTTACACAGATACACGAGAGCTTTCTGTTGTAAAATGAAACTCATTAACCATCACTGGGTGTGTGATCTCTCTGAGTGACTAATACCTGAGCAGGTGGTGCACACACACACACCACTGTTATCTGATCTGTTCCTGTTTCTCTTTGTCTTAGAGATACTCATCACAAACACATAGATGGATAAAAAAAAACTGGTACTGCAGAATTGGTGACGTCAGTTATCTAAAACAAGGTCTTAATTCTCTTTATTTGGGACTCTACTGACATCTAGTGTTTAGCAACAGCATTGCATATTTACAGAAAACCTCCCCACATCTATCTATCTATCTATCTATCTATCTATCTATCTATCTATCTATCTATCTATCTATCTATCTATCTATCTATCTATCTATCTATCTATCTATCTATCTATCTATCTATCTATCTATCTATCTATCTATCTATCTATCTATCTATCTATCTATCTATCTATCTATCTATCATTGTCAGTACACCCCTTTAATTAAATAACTTGAATCCTACAAAATTAATCATTTAAATTTCTGTGAAAATGAAAAAAAAAAATGAAAGTCAAACATTGTTTTTAAAATACGTTTAAAGGGATATTTCTATTTATTCACTTGATTACTGATAGTCACCTGCTGCCATCTTGGTACTCCCCACTCTCTCTGAGTCGCTCCATAAAATGCCTGTAATGTAACGTCATTGCAATAACAATGTTATCAATACAAGTACATATGTACATCATCAATTTAGCACTTTTGCCACATCATCATATAGCGTGTGTGTGTGTGCACTTGTGTAGACACCTGAGTGAGGGCAATTTTTCCAATTTCACCACAACAGTGAGGACCAGTTGTCCTGACAAGGTATTTGCTAATGGTTCGGTTTAGGGCTAAGGTGTCATTGGTTTAGGGTTAGGGTGAGGTATGCATTGATAATGCTTAGTTTGAGTGTTAGGGCGTAGAAAGGGTTGAAAATGACTGAAAATCAACTGAAGTCAATGGGAGTCAACACATGGTCCTCACTACATAAACTAGAACAAATGTGTGTAATATTCTAAACTTGTGATTTCACAGTACCATGTTCCACCAACTGCCTATGAGCTTTCCAGTGAATAAATAGAGATCACTGTATGGAACCCTCAGAAAAGACAAAGGGATGTATAAAATGAAGGCATTAGCTTCACAGTTGTCTGCAATAGTGTAATAGGTCAGTGGGCTTACATATAGGGTGACAGGCAGTCACTGTGATGTTTGGTGACATGTTTTTACTAAACTCAACATGGTTCAGATGAAGCTAGGGAAAGAGGAGTTTTCTCAGGGGATTAGAAAGAAAATGTTTAGAGTGTTGAGACCTGCAGAGAGGATCATCGGGCTACTCTTCCCTCCATAAAAGACGTTTCATCCCAGTGCTGCGTGTCCCGACCCCGTAACATCATAAATGACCACTCACTCCTCCACCATAGACTGTTCTCCCGGCTGCCTTCTGGGAAGAGGTTTCGAAGCATTGGATGCAGGTCCAGCAGATTCCAAAACAGCTTCTTCCCCAATACCATCAGACTGCTGAACTGTTGAAAATACTCTAAATCATGTCACAGACTCTGCATCAAACTGATAACACCAAACCAGAAAACTGCTTCCATATCAATGCTCATTTGCACCATGTTTTTTTCTCCCTAAATGTTGACATTTGATCCCTGCAGCAGTTTATGAAATGGAAATGTTCATTTACAGTCTGGAAAGCTGTACTAAATAAAATGTTGTTTTGTATACACTCCCTGTATACATAACCACAATAAATGTTGTGTAAGTTGAAGGCCCCAGAAGGAACAATAATGTCAAATTAAAGAGACTGGTGATAGAATGATTACTAAAGAGTCCAGAAAAAACTTCCAGAGATTAATGGTAAGTATCATGTTCAAAGAAGATCAATGTCAGATCGCACCTTTCATCATTTAAGCCAAAATTGACTAAAAGGGAGACAAGCCAAGAGGACGCCATTGAAAACAATCATAAAACAGCCAGACTGGAATTTTCCGGACCACATTTTGAGAAGCTACAAAGCTTCTTAGAGAATGTCCTGTGGAGACATGAAAGAAAAATATAACTTTTTGTTAAGGCAAATCAGATCTATGTTCACAGACAAAGAAAGGGTGCATATCAGGAAACATGGAGGAGGCTCTGGTATGATCTGGGCTGCTTTGCTTCATCTGCTGCAATGAAATTTGAAGGCTATCGAGGGATCTTAGAGAGACGTGTGCTGTTCAGTGTCAGTAAGCTTGGTTGTATTTGCAGGCCAACAGGATAAAAACCCAAAACAAACAGTTAAAAACACCAAAGGATGGCTAAGAGGAAAACACAGGAGTATTCTGAAGGAGCAGAAACATGACGTCTGGAAAAGGCTCCCTTCACACCTGAGACAACTGAAGCAGTTTGCTCATGACAAGTGGGACAGAAATACCTGCAAAGAGGAGCAGAAGTATCACTGACAGTTACAGGAATGGTCTGATTCCCTGAAAAGGTTGTGGGATAAAATATGATGTGTGACATCATTTTTGCCCAGGCCTGTCAGTTTATTTTCTATCTTTGTATTGAAGCATGATTGAAAAGCTATTTCTTAGTTTCATTTTTTTACTTTTATTACTTTTATTTTATTTATTAAGTTATTTCTGTGACCATGTGGGTATTTTCCATCATTCAACCGAGGTACCAAAAATTTGGTCCTAGTGTGAAACTGGACAATATGCTTTACTCTGCTCAGATATGTGCTTCTTTTATTTATTTATTGCTATGCATGTATGCTTGTATGCATGCATGCATGCATGTATGTATGTATGCATGCATGTATTAGTTGTTTATATATATATATATATATATAATAAACATTGCAACATGATATAATTTAACTATGTAAATAAAAAAAGTACCTTCTCTAACATCCACACAAGATTAGATCCTGTTTTATTTTTCTGCACAGCTGTGCATCTGTTTGAATATAGTGGTTTTGTGGGCGGATTATAGGTCAGACGTCATCAGATGCACTGATAGGCTCTGACTTCAGGCTTTATTGATATTACAGTCAGCAAGAACTGCCAGCTGAATGTCATAGTTCAACAAACTGCACTGAACACAGTGTGTAGTATTCCAGGATTTAAAAAAAGCAGTATCTCAGAAAAGAACAAACATTATGTCCTCTTTTTAATACAAACAAATAAGTCTTATAAGCAGGAGAAATGTTTTTAGACAACAGAAAGAGGGAAATATGTTAATAATATCTTAATGATAAGGTTTCTTTTTTGATTTTTATGTTTACACATTTTAATGTTATCTTTGAAAATATAATTCTAAATACAGATAATCTCATCCATAATTCCCATTGGAAGATTTTAAGCATATAATGAAGGAAATCATCTACAGGAAACACATACAGCAAACAAATGATAAACATTTAAAAAGAAAATAAAACTGGAAGAAGGTTTAGCTTGTATTAAAAATGTTTCAATGTTTTGTGTGCAGTACTGAATTATACAAAAACACAGAAATCTAATGCATAATGAACAGGAAATCTATTTTTAATTGGAAGCTGAATGAACAATGCAGAATCACTGCCAGAGGGAGGGCAGACATGTTTTTTAAAATTCTGTTTTGTGTTTCTACTTTGAATCATTTCTGGGGGAAAAAAAATTGTAAAACGCTTGATTTTTTTAATATTTTTTTTTCTTGTTATTCAAAATAAATACTCTTAATTATACATATACAGTATGGTCTTTTGCAAAAATGTCCATTAATTTATAAAAGGTTCTTACTTTATTTAACTGTTAACCCATGTTTTTAACTGTGTAACTCCTGATGCCTCTTAGCCAGGACACCGTTTTAAAAGAGGTTTTTAAACTTGACGGGTTTTCCTGGTTAAATAAATGTTAAATTGAAAAGAAAAAAAAGATAAGTAAATAAAGAAATTGTTCCTTGGAAAAAAAGGAGGAAAAAAAAGCAGAAATGCCAAGAAAATACTAGAATATATTTTTTAGTTGAGTCCATTATTTAAACCTTTTAAATATATAGTAAAACTAGAGTAAATAAGCTAAGACGAATAGCAAACACAAATTAAAACAAGAATATTGTTATCTTATGAATATGAAGAAAGGTCTTATCTAGGATACCAAAATCAGGTGTCCTCATTCCTGTTAAAACATGGTGCTGTACATATTTTCACAGCCCTGCTCCATGCATTGAACTGACATAGACACCATGTTGTGTGCTTTAACAGTCCAAAGGTCAGTTCTAAGGGTCCTGATAAATCAACAACCAGAACAAACATCCCTATGTAGACAGGCCAGAGTGAAAGTTAAGTCAACATGTTAGGGTCAAAGATTTCAACCCTTGTTGTTAAGGGCTCTCTAAAGGCCATTAAAAGTTAAGTAAGTTAAAGACTTTACATAATAGAATAATCTCTGCATTCATTTACTCTCTAAATTCAAATATATTCTCCTTATATTCAACCATTAAACCAACTATTTAAATTTTGTGGTTTGGAAACCTTGCAGCACCGACTGATTTCATGTTTTTGGCTTCCTACAGATGTATTACTGTCAGATTTAAACACATCATCAAACAAAATATACATTTTAAAGAAAACTGAAACATTTAAAAAAAGGAGATTTAAAAAACTTGGTTGGTCATTCCAACAACACAAATCCCTGATTTAAAGACACTAAAGAGCAGATGTGAAACAAAGTCTGACTTCTATCAACCTATAAAGGGTTGCAGCAGCATTAGTAAGGGTTTGGGTCTCTGTAGAACAACAGTCAGAACCATTAGTTACACATTAGGAGAGTAGAAAACAAAGAGAGGGGAAGAGGCTGCTCAACCAGAATTACTCCAGGAGCTCATCAACAAGTCATGCAAGAGGTCAGAGAAGATCCAGGAATAACATCTAAATCTCTGCAGGCCTCATTGCCACAGTTAAGGTCAGAGGTCAAACGGTTCTGCTCAGTATGACCTTGATGACTGAGAATCATCACCAGCACTGAGCAGAACTTTTTAGAAGTTATCTACTGCTGCTGCAGAAGGAGGAACAACCAGGTATCGGTTCAGTAATTAGTTAGGATTTGCTTGTTGTTAGATAAATGGCAGACATCCCAACAGCTAAAAAATAAAGAACCAAATGAGGTTCTGATTGGGCTGATTCCCAGTTCCCCTCTCCTCTCTCTCTTTAAAAGCAACAGCGCTCCTTTAACACCTGCTAGAGTTCATCATCAAGGTGATGGCTGATAGCATTTGCATGCCACACAGTAGCTCATTTGTTTGTGTCCGCTGCTTACCTGGTGTGAATAGATCTCATGCTGCTGATTCCTCCATCAAACTGGAAATCGTCGGAAATGTTTTCATGTCAGGATTCTGCTTTTGGATCATTTACAGGAGTTCCAACACTATGAGGTGTTACCAGGAGTGGTTATCAGAATCCAGCTCCTGATTTTTCTCTTCTCCTTTAATCTGGATAAAAAGAAGAGAACTTTGAGCACTGAATTGGATTTAGGACGACTTGAAGTTCAGATTCTTGGCTGAAAGACTGCAAGTCCCGGTTTCTGTTTTTTTATACTTCGGGACTCTAGAACTGGGATGCAGAACCTAGAGGATGATGGAGTGTTGCTCCACTCTCTCAGGGCGGTGACAAGCCTGAGGCTGAGCAGAGAGGAGAGCTTAGAGCAGGAGCAAGTGGATCAGAGAGATCCGGACCAGGAGCAGATAGATAATGGAGGAATTCTGGCAAAGCTGTCTTCCATCGAGTTCCGCATGCAGCAGCTACAAAGCAGGAGGTTCCTGCTGATGAAGATGAAACGCCACAGGAGGAAGGATGAACGGCACAGTGGAGGAAGCTCAGAGGAATGTGAGTTCGACCACCTTTCCCTGCTGATTAGATTGTACACCAGAAGGTCTTGCCGATCGACTGAGATGTTCTCAGTTTGAATTGAAATTATATATATGCTGCAGTTCTGTAAAAGTCCCTGGGCCAAACTCTGGGTCTCTGCTCAGGGCCGGCAAACAGATGGATGGGGCCCTGGGCAGCTTCTCTGAGGTAACATTAATCCCAGCAGAGCTAGAAAACTGGGGCAAAGTTATAATATGAAACCAGCTAATATTAACCTGCCTTAACTTTGTATGATCATTCACTGATAAAGAAAAAAAAAATTTTTAACACGGGAGAGAGTCAATTCCCAGATCTAAGCGAAATGATCAGAATCCAGAGTCTCTTGGGAGACCCCTGCGGGCTCAGAGCGTCTAAAGCAGGCATGCCTAAAGTCGGTCCTTGATGACCGCTGTCTGTCTCAGGTTTTTGAGGTTTCCCTGCTTCAGTACAGCTGATTCTGATGATTCTGATGGCTGTACTGAAGCAGGAAAACCTCTAAACCCTGCAGGACAGCCTTCCTCCAGGACCAACTTTGGGCACGCCTGGTCTAAAGGGAGTTAAAAAAAAAGTAAAAAAAAAACAAAAACAAAAGGATTGCAATTCACAAATGGTTGGTTCTGCTTCTGGTCCCTGAACCCCTGACATATTCTTTAAATAAATAAATAAATAAAATATTTCTGATGTCAGAGTATGACTATAGTGTCCAGGCATGTTTCAATTCCCTGTGACATTGGTCTGTGTTGCTAGTGATCATTGAAGATGATGAGGATGATGATGATGATGATGATGAGCTGAGGACCATTCAGACCGAGCTGGAGGACCTGCAGGCGAAAAAGGAGGAGCTGGAGAGAGCCGGAGGGAGCCTCATAGTAAACTCTAACGAAGGCAGGTTTCCCCTTCATCCTGCTCTATACACTCTCTTTACATTAGACTTTAGTTTACTCAAAGTCCTGTTTGAATTCCTGCTGCCAGTTCCCAGGGAACAGCTGCCGACTTACAAAGAGACTCCTCGTGGAGGCATCTACATGCTTCCTCCTCCTCCTCCTCCTCCTGAAGAGGTTACGGCTGCAACACCAGATCCAGCGGAGGACATCCTGCCAGGTAGGCTTCACCTCCATCATCAAACACCTTCCATTCATGGTTGGTGAGATTCCCCTAACTGGTTCTCTGTCGGCTTCTTTTGTTCTGGCTGCAAGTGGAGAGGCTGGGGATGGCAGCAGGGGTCACAAAGTGTCCATCCTGTGAAGAAGTGGTTGTCACGGAAACCCAAAGCACTGCAAGTGAGACTATGTGGATCCTGTGCTTCGTATGCTCTCTGATGGGGTGAGTTGTTGCGTTGTTGTGAATAAGTCAGAGGTTCAAATCCCTGACTGGCATATCTCCTCCCCTCACAGCTGTGTGGCAGGATGCTGCTTGATCCCCTTCTACATGAAGAGTCTCAGGAACGTCTCCCATCACTGTCCCCGGTGCCAGGCCAAGATTCACACCCATAAGCTGCTTTGACATTTTCCATCTCATCACATTATAGACTTTCTGGATTACGGTCCAGTAGAACATTCACTAATAAGTGCATATATGGCTGTTATATGGCTCTGTGCCCAGGGCGTCCCTCTGGTGGGATATAGAATGCTAACTGTTTACTTTTCTACTGGTTGTTTGCCCGTTGGTCAGCGGGAGGAGGGCGCCCCCTGTGTGGTTCACAGTTTGAGAAAGGACTCTAAGGAAATATGGAGCTCCAAAATCCAGCATCATGATTTCTTTTCTTTCTTTTTTTTTTTTTTTGGGGCCACAAATTCTTGACAAAAGGTAAGTAACAAAAAAAAAAAACAAATAATTGGTCTCACATGGCCGCTGACAAAAAAAAAAAAAAAAAAAAAAATTGTTGGAGCTCTGTCAGATTGGATTTAATTGCTGTAATCACCAATGTACATCTCACAGTTTCACCAACAAAGTTTCTTGTCTCTGCTAAAGTAATTATTCCCCATAGCATGATGCCGCCACCACCATATTTCACAGTGGTGATTGTGTGATCCATAAACCTTTATTTGTTTAACACAAACCTTCTCCCTGGCCTGTCTGCTGGGTTCCTTGGTTGTTAAGATGCTGGTTGTTCTCCAGAGATCATCTGAGGCCATGACCAGAGTAGATTCAATCATAGAAAGAGGGACTCCTTTGATCAAATAATTTCATCTAAAAGAAGCAGGGAAAAGGGAGACAAGGACAAGATTTCTTCCTTCTTTTAAAAAAAAATAATAAATTGAAATCAAATTAAAAAACCTCCTGGAGACTGAAATAGTAATGAGAGAATACTTTTTACAGGGCTTTATGTGAACCAGCTGTTCCATGTCCTGTGTACATATATGTATGTGTAGTATACTACTACTAAGCTGCTATAAATACTTTCTTTGTAAGAAAAAAAAAGCTGTCTGGACCGCTGAGAGAAATGATTTTCTACATATTGTGCATCTGCTTATGTCATCTTCCAGTCAGATAGATGCTTTTCAAACAGATTAATTCAATTCACACAGGCTGTTGGTCTAAATACAGTCTGTTATATTATCATTACGTTTATAATGACAGTCTCTATTCACCTTTGCTTATGTAACCTTTCAGATGGATAAGGTCAGGACATCTAAATATATCTAACAATAACAGTCATTATGCTTTTAACAAACAATGAGCAAAATTGCAAAGCAGGATGTGAGGAAATAGATCTGCTCTGAGCACCACTTTCTGGTTGCATTATATCAGATGTTGCACCGCTGTGAAAAGCATAACACAGAGAACTTTGCAGGTCTCAGTGTGTGGATATCATGTCCAGCTCTGATTTGAGGCCTTCTGACCTGCAGCTGAAGCTTGAGAAAAAAACTGTTCACAAAACAGCACAAAGAAGTTGGACACAGCTCTGGATCTATGCTGGGTTAAATGAAAAATAGGGAATCCTGAAGTGATCACAGTTTTCAAGTCCAGCTCTCATCTGGATTTAATGCAATGCTCAAACATTAGCAAAGAGGTGGAGAGCCAAATGAAGCTGAAGCTCCATTACGAGAAGCAACATTGGAAAAAAATTGGTCAATTTCTCTCCAAACATTATCTGAATAAAAGTCAAACAGAATATAATTTATTGCACTTATTTCTCCTAAAACCTACTAAATCATTAATAGTTTTCATCCTCATTTTACTCATAGTGCAACAGTTATACATATATACTGTGTATATAATAATTTGTTAATAAAATAGAAAAATTTGTATCCATTTTAGTAAGTTTTTCATGTAAGATGAAGTCCAGACTGATGATTTCCTGCATAAATGATTGAACACATTTAGTATCAGAACATTATCTATATCAGATTAAAAACAAAACCTTCAATGTAGAAAGTCAGGCCTGATGGAAATAGTTTAGTTCCTGTTAAAGATTATTTTCAAACATTAAAAATGAGCTTCATTCTAATTTATTTACATATACCATTTTCCGTCAAACTAAGTCCTTTTAAATTTTCTATTTTTTGTCACGTTAGAATAAACTTCACTGTTTTAATGGGATTTAATGACAGAACGCAAATGATCACATAAGGTAAAATTTGAGCATACTTCACCAAGTAAATGCCACAAGTAGATTTTAGCAGTTAGATTGGATGGAAAATGTTTTAAAGTTTCACCAGAGTCTTAAGTTAGATTTAGCTCTAGACTTTGACTAGGCCATTCTTACACCTGTGATCTAAACCATCCATTATATCAATCAAGTTCAAGTTGATCCTCTGTCCCTCCATCAAGCAGGATTTAGCTCAGTCCACCATCACTTTAACACTGACCAGTTTACCTGTTACACAGCATGATGCTGCCAACATCGTGTTTAATGCTGGTCAAAAGAGCATTATTCTTTCATTCCGGCCTTAGAGCGGCAAGGTATCAAAGGGAGAAGGGTTGTTTATCATATTAGGGAGTGTATGGGAAACAAATGACGGTTCTCATAAGCTTGAATGTTTCTCAGGAATTATTTCATAACATGTTTTTTTTCAAACTGTAATTGTTGGGGTAACGGTATGTGGAGACCTTCACAGTCGCCCTGCAGGGTTTAAAGTAGTGAGACACACTTTGTCTATGCAGTGCAGGGTCTGGACATCATGTCATCTTGTTGTCTCATTTTCTTTGCAAAGAAAATAAACTGCCAAATGAGAAATTAATCAATCTTCTTTCATTTTCATTATAGTTGAATACATTTTCCCCCACAACAGTTCACCTGTTCTTGTTGAAGTTTTCTAATAAGTAGAGGGTTTATTTGTGTTACCCCAGAGCTAGATGATAGCCCAACAGTGCTTCTCTCCCAAGCAGATCATTAAGGTTGTTGCCATAAGTTTCCACATGGTAGCTATATATTGAGCTTAATTAGAAATAATTTAATAATAAATAATAATCAAGGATTGAACTTTATTGATCTCACATTGGAGAATTTTACCCATTCCCTTAGGGAGTAGTGGGCTGTCATTCTGGGGCGCCCGGGAAGCAGTGTGGGGTTAAGGGTCTTGCTCAGAAATCAAGAGTGGCAGCCTGTGGGAGTGGGGCCCCAACCCAGAACCTCAGGATTCCACTAGGCCGCCACTCCCCACCATTTAGGGAATAACATTTTATACAACAGAAATGGAGGTGAGAAAGGGAGAGGGGATAAGAACTAAGAGGAGACAGAAAGAGACAGACGCAGGAGATGTACATAGTTTGCCTGAGACGAGGGAAAGAAAACACAACAAAACAACAGCCAAAACAGGACAAGTCAATCATACTAAAGATCAAAGTAGCTTAAAGAGCAACGGGTATCCCTTAGGTACACAGTTAGTGTGTGTTTGGAAAGCAAAGCCTATTGTCATTAAACCATACTATTCAGGGTTGCATATATCTGTAGCTGCTGCTTAGTACTTAGTGTGTATCCATGAACACCACAAAACAAGCTTCTGCGGTGTGAATGCATGAGTATGCACATATATGAAGGGTTAACAAGGCTTCCTCAGAGGAAATTTGCTTAACAGGAGGTAAGGGCGGCTCCAGACTCACCCTACAGGGCCCAAGATTGATAAAGAGGCACACAGAGGAGGGCAGATATAGGAATGGATGCACCCAGCAGAGAAGGATACGCAAGAGGACCCCGGGCTAGGGGGGGAAAACCCCAACAGTGACGTCAAAGACTGGAGAATCAGCTCTGGAACCAATCTGAGAGGTTCAAAACCTGACTCAAACCAAAATAAATGTGTGGCATTTGATATCACTTATCCCTGTTTTCCATGTTAGAGAAACAGTTACGTACGGGTGAACAAACAAAATAGATGCATGTCTGTATGCAAACATGGACATGAGCTGCCAAGCAGTGTTTTAAACTCACTACGAACTCAAATGTGGTGGCTTTCTGGGTTCCTCTGCTCTGAACGCTCATTTAAAAAACAAAAATACTGGGATTAGCATCATAGTAAGTGTTCAGCTGGAATAACAAAAAACGCTGGAAGCTTTTCACAGTACACCCAGTTTTATTGACACATAAAAGCATACTGTACTCATATATACACATCTCTAGAGTATTTACAAAATAAAAAGCCCATGGATGGTACATGTAGAAAAATATGCATTACATCTATATAAATATGTACAAGATGTGCAAAACATATGGCATTCCAACAAGAGGCATGGCATGGGTGGTACAGACGGACAGTGGAGGGAGGGGGGAGCATGCAATAAGCAGTAGATGCAGCGCTGAAGTCTGGCTTAATGGCGTTCAAACATCAATAAACCCCCGTCCCCACTGATCCACCCAGATATGAAGTGCTTTTAAACCACGTCTGTCGCAGACAAAGGGTGAAGGATCAGACAGACGGTTCAGTATTTCACAGGGAGAGCAGCTGTCAGTCATCAGAGTCCCACGTAGTTTCACTGCAGTTTCACAGCTTTCTGCATGTTGGATGTAAAGTATAAAAAAAAAAAGCAGAAATATACACAGGAAGTCCTCACTCGATATATTTAACAGTCAGGGTACATCAAGTAGGCCGGACTTATAAGCTTAAAAACGGCCAATCAGGAAAATGAATAAAGTGAAAGTTTAACAGCTGCTCATTCAGTGAGGAAGATAACCACAGCAAAGTGATGAAGAGGAAGAAACAGTCTGAACTAGAGGAGCAGGGCTCACTGCTTCACATGAAGACGTAAGGTAGTCGCCCTCCAGTGGCCATGGACATAACTGCAGCACAAAGTGGTTTAAAAAGCAGACATTTTTATCTTAACCGTCTTGACGGCTAAACTGTGACCACCTTCATGGACATGCAGAGGACAGAAGGAAAGATACGCATTAGGGCCAACATGGCAACATGCTGACTTCCCTCATACATACATGTGCAAACAGACACGCTACAGACAGAAACACGGAGCCATGCAGAAATATTCATACCCACTGCAACCACCAACTTCAATGCTCTTTTGTTTCACTTCCTGTGACAGACCAAAACAGAAGAGACTGTGAATTATTTATATTAATATCCTACATGGGGGAAAAAATTATTTAACCACAACAGACTGAGACAATTTAGACTTTATGTTCCTTCAACTTAATTAGTGGCATTAGGAGAGGGATATATAAGCTGGAAAATATTTTTAACACCTAATGTGCTGACAAGACAGGTATGGTACTGCAAACTGCCAGAGCTCAACAAACACATTTCTGAAAGAAAAGAGCCACTTTACTACAGAAGGTCC